ATTGTAAATAGAACGACTCCATTTACAAATGTTGGTGTTTTCAATATGCAAGGGGGGAAAAGTGCGGCGAAGTGGGGAAGCATGCGAAGGGATTTATTGTATACCCAGAGCGGTGGATCATCGACCACGTATGATTGACTCCTACTATCTGAGACTCCTACTATCTAATGAATCTAGAAAGTCCTCCGCAAATAGAGGCTCCCACCTTTCATGGCAGCAATCGAAGCGGCCCCTCTGGCTGTAGATCATCAGGCGGTACCGGAGAATTATGGTGGCTGGCGATATGAACGCTCATCTCCCACAATTCGACGGAAGAATGAGCGGACGAGGCAAACTCCTCATGGAGCTCGCCAACGAAAACGATCTGATTATTATAAACCTCACGGAAAAATGTCGGGGAAAAATCACTCGAAAACAGGGCGGCACCTCCTTTACGTGAGACTATGCACTCTGCAACGCTCGAACCTATAGAGAAGTGACAGATATGCATGTAGATGAGGACAAAGAAATCCTCCGGTAGTGACCATAACCTACTCACCATACAAACGGGCAAAGCAAAGGGTTACTGCCGCCCCCAAAAGGTACAAGTACCAATTTTACGGACCCAAAAAGCCGCGGAGAGGGCGTCAGACCTGCTGAGAGCTCGAGCGGAATCAACGAGATCGGCCAGCTACAGTGATCTGAAAGACGTCATCTTGCATGCACTGTGCAGAAATACGAAACTCGTTACTCTGAGCCCGAAGGAAAGCCTGTCATCACCCGAGCTATCGAATCTAACGAAGCAAAGTAGAGAACAGAATCGAGCATGGAGAAGAGCAAGACGCACGGGAGACGGCGTCGACGAAGCAGAACAGATGAGCGGACCCCCTCGTCAAGTAAGACAAGCGGTAAATCTGTCCACTGAGGGACCTGAGATGAGAGCAACTCTAGCTGCGATCTCAGCGTCCTCAGCCACTGGTCCAGATGAAATACCAGCGAGAGTCCTCAAAGCTTTGAATGACATTGGATGCAGCTATGTATCAAAGGTCTTCAACAACATCCTGAATGGTACCCACGAAATTCCGGCGGAGTGGAGTACAGGAAGGGTATCCTTAATTGAGAAATCTAACTCAGTCAAAGGAGACCTTACAACCTACCGACCCATCACAGTGCCCCATGTCCTGTATAGGATCTTCACGATGATATTAGGGAGACACTTTCAACAATGGACTGAGTGCACTGAACAGCTATCCGAAATGCAAAATGGGTTCCGGAGAGACCGCAGAGGCGATGACAACATATTCATCCTAACAACTGCAATCGAAATAGCGAGAGCCCAACACAAGGGCCTACTCTGCGTATTTCTTGATGCCACGAAAGCCTACGACCGAATCGATCGAAGTAAGCTGTGGCGAATTCTAGAAGAGAGGAGAATGAACAAACCATTGCTCGAATTCCTCAGGTACATGTACGAGGAGACCTGCATTTTTCTCAAACGTGGGGATTACACCTCTGACGAACTGTCCATACCAATCGGACTCCGCCAAGGTTGCCCACTCTCCCCAATTCTCTTCAGCCTCTACATCGCAAACCTTGAGCGAGAACTCATAAACACAGGACTCGGGCTCAGGTTTGCGAAGAGGGGAAACTTCCGGGACGTGAAGGAACAGAAAAATTCCACGATCCCGGGTCTATTATGTGCCGACTACCGTATTCTAATGACAAATGACATCAGGGATATGGAAACTCTCCTGGAGATAACCTCTAGATTTGGGAACAACATGTCGATCAAATTTTATCCCCAGAAGAGTGGAATCGTGCTTTCCTCTCGACCAATCCCGATCCATTGAATCTATCCAATCTCTATCCATACCCTAGATAGAGACCATATCTCTATCTATCCATATCTCTATCCAATCTCTATCCATACCCTAGATAGAGACCTCAAGATTCAAGGACTTTCAATACCCTTAATGGAATCCTATAAATATCTTGGGGTCGAACTATCGGCTGAAAATGACTACCTAGCTAAACAATGGCCAAAGTGGTCAGAGAAAGCCAACCAGGCGATCCAGAGACTCAATGCGAGGACCTTATGGTGCTTCAACAGATTTGAAGTCTCCAACATTCTCTGGAAAGCCACTGCCGTCCCGCAGCTCACATATTGCAATTCAGTAATCACAATGCCGAAATGGCTCAGAAACCACATCGAAGTCAGGCAAAGAGACGCGGGACGATGGGCTCTCGGCATACCACACTCGACTATAGCCAAAGAGTTCATCGAGGGAGAGCTCGGATGGAGCTCCTTGGACGCTCGTGAGACCATCAGAAAGGCGATGTTCTTCGAGAGGATAAGAAATATGGACGACGATAGATGGCCAAAACTTGTCCTCCAGGCTGCCGACCTCACTGAAACCTGAATCAAAGCAACAGAGAGACTCGATAAACTGAGCTTGCTTTTTGATATAGGGGAGATCAGACCAGCTAGAAGTTCATCGGGCGAACCTGCGTGGAATTTGCTTCGCAGAGAACTCAGACAGAGGGTGCGAGATAAACTGGATTCGGCATGGAAACTGAACATGGAATCCAAATCCACGCTGAGTACATATCGTAAATACAAGGAGACCAGAGGTCTCGACGTAAGATTGTACGACAACTCTCGCGGGAGACAACTCCTGGCACTTACAAGGGCAGGAGTGCTCAACGAAACGACGACATGTCCGCGACCCTTCCGTCAACTGCAGCTGCCCAAGATAAGTTATACCCGAAACAGACGAACATATTGTCTTAGGGTGTGAGGAAGAAATGTTCTCGCCCGAGGAATTCGCCTACGGAATCGGACTCCTACCTGACATCACACAGGAAGTCACCGAAGAACGAAGGCGACCCTGAACAAGTGGGAGAGACAAGATCTGTGAACGCAATACGTGTCACCCCTGAATTGAAAGGGATCATATGTGCATATGGAAGATCAATATGAATCAATCAATCAATGTCGGTCCACGTAGGCTGACTAAGAGCAACCTCACATAGAAGCACTCTTGATTGTTGGGATGAACGGTATACAACCGACCCAGAGCATTGGAGGAAATTCTCGTACCATGTCCTTCGATGTTCACAGTTGTCCCTCTTTCGCGAGCCTTGAATTTTTTCGCTTGCCCCGTGTAGTATTCCGGAACTTCGGAGTAAAGGAGAGTCTTCGGGAGGTCATCATTCGAATTTCTGCATAAATCGAAGAATGCAGTCAATGTTGAGGCCGGTGGAGCAGCCGCTCTCGCTTGTACGTTGCTCGCCGTGAAGTATACACGCTGACCGTTCTCGAGGTGCACCGCCAAATGCACAACTGCAGGTTCTCGTTCATGGATGGGGAATGACAGAATCCGCCAAATCGCTTCATTACTGTTGATGTAGCGTCCAGAGCGATATCGTTCCACTTCATCGACTGGTTCTGAAGTGTTCCTCATCTCGATAAGTGCCATATCGCTCCCCTCATTCACGTGCTTGCAAAAGTACTTGATGGACTTGACGGGATTGCAGTATTCGACGCTGATGTGCGCTTTGAAGGTTTTTGAGAGCAATGGTGAATACGGCACAATCCAGCTATTATCGATGACGATGACTCGATCACCGCACGGAACATCTTGCCGCCGTCTTCAAGGGACCTACGTCGACATTGGGGGTAACCATCGTTGCCTGGGACGGTTTCCGGAATCAGACGTTTCGGGTACTTTTTCGAGCATTTCTTGTCTTTCATACAAACACATCGTGGATTAAAGTCTCCGCAAGGCCCGTGGACCATGTTTCGTGTGACGACCTCGAATGATCCAGGATCGATGTCAATGTCTGGGATTTTGGCTGAGATGACATCGTCGATTCTGTCTGGTGTGATTTTGTTCGCCAACAAGATCAGGATATGTGCATGCGGGAGTCCTCTCTTCTGTCATTCGATGGAGTAAATCCATCACCGTGTTTCTCCAAAAACTTGATATTTCTTGATGAAATTCATCATTGATAGTAATTTCTGCCTGAAGACGCGAGCAATGATGTCGTGGCGATCGGATGACGCTTGACCTCGTAGCAAGAGCTCTTGAATTTCACCCCAGGCAGAATTGCGCGTGAATGTGATGAATAAATCGGGGCGACCATATGCGCGAACATATGTCATAGCATCCATGGCGTATTCATGCATATTACGCGGGCTCCCTGTGTACGTGGCTGGTAAAACTACCTGCTTCCCAACACTGTTGGCATCGACGTTGGCATCAATGTTCACCGCATCGCGTAGATGAATGTATTCCTCCGAACGCACTTTCGTTTATTTAGGCGGATATAGAGCAGTCGTTCGCTCTGGATTTTCACGTATATATCGACAATGAATTAGTGAAACAATAGCCGACATCTGAGAATGTTATTATCGGAATTGTCAAGAATCATGATGCGATAGGCGTAAAAAAATGAAATGGTACCCATCCCCTCCCTGCCTTTCAACCATTCATTAACTGTTGACCAGTTTACATACCTAATTCAAATATACAAGATTTACGTCAACCTGGAGAGTGACACCATCTTTGTGCATTGCTGAAGATGATACGTTCCGCCTATTCCCCCGCATAGGGAACAGATGCATTCGTCCGAGGGGTCATGGAAGCCTCTGCGGGAGCAAGTTTTGTGGTGAAAGCCGTGCATCGCAAACCGGGTGTATGTACTACCAGCATTCTGGGGCGCGGCCTTTGGCCGCGCTCGTCTCTTTTCTGTGCGTTTCCGGGGAGCGCATTGCAATTCTGTAAAAGCGGACCTCTAACGAAAATTGCGACGCGTCGCCGTTATGATAATCCGTTCCGATGGATCTAAAATTATTGCGACTGATTCGGCTCCGATAATGCTAAAGAAACACGAGTATGTAGGAGTCGGCGGTCAATGAAATAAGGGATGAGAGACTTCGTATTCAAACATCGAAGACAACATTTTTGAGTAAAGGTTTGGGTGCTCTGATTTTCAGTCCGTTGGGATCCGAACTCTGCTTAGCGCGACGTAAAGTTGGCCATGATTGAAGACGTCTCCTTGCAACGATGAGCCAACGCAGGAAAAAGTTTGACAAGACGCCTGTTCATGTAGTCGGAATCCTTCCAACGGTCTGAGGAAAAGGCCTCGGTGTTGAAAACTTCGGGGTCCACGTCCGTCAGCCTCCGCTCCCACTCGCGACAGTGCTCGGCGAAGGCCTCGGTCACCCGGAGATAGAATCTTCGCTGGACTTGCTCCGAGAGTAATGGGACATTCGCCACGAGATAGACGAGTCTGTTTCTGCTTGATCGGTGCACTCGCAGCACTTTTTTGAGAAAAGCCGCCTTGAGGCGATCCAGCTGCATGAAGTGGGATCTGCCGAGCTGAGCCCAGATCACTGGGATCCCGTAACATGCCGTCGGCTCGACTTTCAGCGTGCATAGAGCCTCGGCCGTCTTCAGGGAGAGCTTGTGAGGGTTCTCGATGCAGTGAAAAGCGAGATGACCCAGGAGAACTCGTTCGCGGAGATGCCGCGAGAACGAGCAGCCAAACGCCGAGAAGAAAATTCCGAGGTACGGGAAGTGATCAACAAGCTCAAGAGTGTCCAAGTCGATTCTGAACTGATCTGAGCCCGAGGGTCTACCACCGCGGCGGAATTTGAGAGCTTTCGATTCCGAGGCGTTGATCTCGAGATCTTTCTCAACGACGTATCGTTGCAGACTCCTCAGGGCTTGTTGGAGATGGAACCGACTCGACGAGAACAGGGCGAGATCGTCGGCGTACATGAGCACTTGTACTTTGGGGTTGCGGTCTTGTATGCGCCTAGGCAAGTCGCTCACCAATGTCGAGAAGAGAAGGGGGCTGGGGCAGTCTCCTTGGGCAACCCCAGTCGTTTGCCGAATTGGTTCGTGCTCGACAACACCGTCTTCGAGAAAGACGAGATCTTCCTGTGAGATCGCGGAGAGGAGGTTCAGAATGTGGCTCGGGACGCCAGCTTGAGCTAACCTTTCCAGAATGTAGCTCCGCGATGCAGTATCAAAGGCCGACCGAAAATCGACGAAAACCTTATTTAGGATCTGCCGAGGACGTCCCAAGACCCTCCTGACCCTGTTGAGAAGCACAGAGGCCGCCGTATAAGTAGACATTGCTCTTCTGAAACCGTGTTGCTCAGGGGGAGGAAGCTCTCGCTCTTTAAGAAGTCCTCGAGGCGTTTGGCGAGGATTCCGGATAAGAGCTTGTAGATCACATTCTTCTTGGCTATACCGCGGTATGAGGACGGTGCCAGGGGGTCACCCTTGCCTTCTGGGATGACGCGGAGGGCACTGGGTACGCCGTCACACGAGCCTCAGATCGGAGCCACTTGTATGGATGACGGGCAGCCTCACGGAGCAGAATGGCCTCGACCCTTCCGGAGTGGGCCGCCTCAGAGTCTCGGATCACTCGGCAGTAAGCTCGTCTCGATCTCGTGTAATTCGATGTCATATAAGGCTGGATTCTGGACAGAATGTATGCCTGCATCATGCACGATCTCGCGAGACGGCAGGCCGGAGAAAACCACGAACCCTATCGCCTCGGGTTTTTCCTCAGTATGCCCTGTCTTATGCTGTCGACGATCGCCGTGTTGAACTCTTCAACTGAGAGGTCTTGCGGATTATAGAGTAGAGGCGAGGCGGGTAGCAGAAGACGTGACACGTCCAGTTCCCGACTGAGTCCTGTTCGTCTTAGGGGTAATCTTTGACATTGTGTTGTCGTTACCCTGGTTCCGACACGTAGATGGCTCCTAACTCCGAAGGCCCGCAGCCGCCTCTGAACTCCCAGATACCGCACCTGATTCCCGGGAATGTTTGTGAGAAAGAGGTCGATCGTGGATTTGCCTTGGGGGCCGATGAAAGTGTGTTCGGGACTCTCAGTCGGCATCCAAAGCCCACTTACATAGTTCCATGGTTCGGAACAGAAGCTGCGTCTTGCGGGTTGGAGGCTTATCGACTGGGCACTTGAAATCACCGCAGACCAGAGTCGGTTTGGTGAGATCGACGGAGTCAATGGACGAGGTGACCTTCTCCAGGGAGACTTCCGGCTTCCCCGACGGACTTGAGTACATTGCAATGATATTGATCCTCCGTGGTGGAGAGTCGGATCAGAGCATTGTTCTCACGGAAGAAACTTTGTAGTCGTTGAACAATTTGTCGCTCGATATTTGGAATCACCCTGCACCGAAGCTCGATTCAGCATCTTCCATGAAGTATATTTGCAGGAACTGATGTTCTTCGTTCGGTAAAGGGAGGAGGGATCCAGCGCGATGATAAATCTGGCCTTGGCACTTGAACGCAGGCATACATTCATCATTGAAAATCTCGGTAGCGCCGAAAGATGTCATTTGGAAAGCCGAATTATACTTGCGTATGTTCTTTAGAAAACGCTTCGATTCGCTTGTTTCTCCGGCTACCAGGGCCCGGAGTGTCTGGTGTGGCGAACGTAGGTCGGGTAGTTTGACTTGACCGTTGGCACAGCACATGCCAGCCGTCTCGTTTTTGAACTTTAAAGCACGGTAGAACTGACACGATTGATCCATCTTTCCAATGACAACTTTGGGATGGAGATCGTAGTTGTAATTGGGAACATAGTTGAAAGCTGCCATATTCAAATCTACGTGCGGTGTACGTCTTGATCGAACGTGAAGCTGCCTATCGGTTTGCACTCTAGATGTCCGCTCAGCTTCTGATTCGCGGGAGCGAGCGGAAGCAGTCGGAGCGCGGTCAGCTCCCAGTCTGGCTTCTAGCTCAGCTTCTGATTCGCAGGCGCGAGTGGAAGCAGTCTGAGCAAGGTCAGTGTCGCGTCTCGAAGCGCGAGTCGTACATACTGTACCAATGACCCATACCGGAACACCTTTCTGTTCAATAAATGATGGAGAGCAGTCGTCAGCTCTTCGTTCGCTCGCGGTGATCGCAGCCAGAATGTGGACGGCAGCACGTCCGATGGCAGCTCTCTCAGCCAGCCGCAGCGGAGCTCCGCCATCTTATCAGTAGCGTGCGCGAGACTCCGAAGGCATCGTCAGTCCTTTCGGGTTTCCGTCGAAATTCGCATGATCCGCGAGCGATCGACCGAGAGACGATCTCATCAATAGCATCGTCAGTGTTTTCCGTCCTCCGGTCGTCCCGGCTCGTGACATTTGGTGTCAGAAGTTACTTCAGAAGAACTTGCGCGTTGGAACCAGTTCAGCAGGCCACGCCGTCAGCTAGTGATCGAATCGATTCGTCATATCGACCATGAGCAACGAGAAAACCGAAACACATCGCCATTCCGGAGATGGAGGAACCCGACGAAGATCCGGGAAATTCCCAAGCCGAAATAGATGCCCATCAATGCGGTAGCTCGAGGGCTTCAGCTACACCTGGCGCCTCGAGAGTACATTGGAAAACTAGGCAAAAGTACGAGAAAATCCTCGAAGATCAGATTGCCAGACGTACTCTGGTTAGGAATAGTTTGGAAGATCGGGTCGACAGGATAAAACTGTTGTGCGAGAACCCCCCGGAAAACATTCGCCGTCACGCGAAACTCCACGCAACAATGCTGGAGCGTTCCGAGTCAGAGCTGCGAACACTCGACACAGAAATTGCGGACCTGATGCGAAAACTCAACCCTTCGGATTTGGTGGAGGATTACGATCGGGTGATTTTCTTTGAAGAAATGGTGATCGGCGCCCAAAGCGATCTCGAAGACTTGCAGAAAGCCCCACTGGCGGATCGTAGTGAACATTCCGTTGGCGGTGCGAGCGCCGATGACCAATGCATCCAGCCGGATGCGGATGATCAGAGAGCTTCGACTCCCCAGATGGATCCCGGTGACCAGCGAGGCCCGGAGACAAATGTGTCAAGCCTCCCGATGATAGTGAAGGTGGTTCAGGAGAAATCCCCGCGTACGCCGAAGTTCAATGGGAATTTCAAACAATTCCGTGAATGGTCCCAGCTCTTCGAATCGTACGTGAACAGCAAAGACATACCCGTGATTCAGAAGTTCGCAAAGCTGAAAGAAAGCCTCATCGGCCCAGCGAGACAGGAAATAGCGCATATAAGTTTCTGTGAGAGCCAATACGAGATTGCCTTGAAGAGGATTCACGACGTTTACGGTGACGAACAAGATGCCGAGCAACAACATGTGAAGGAGATTAGCGGACTATTCAACGCCAAGGATCTCCATCGCCCAGATAAGTTGAGACATTTTCACTCGACTCTCTCTCAAAACGTTCTAGCCCTCGTGGCTCTCGGGAAAAGGATCGACGGGCTCTCCACATTCCTCGTACACAACCTAATTCGAGTACTCCCGCGTTCACTACAACTTCAGTTTCTTGACATTTACGAGGATTTACGGAAAAGCGGTGACTCCCGCTGTGAGTTGGAGGTACTGATAGATTTTCTGGAGCGGCAGGTGAAAATCCACCGGAAGATTGCGGACAGCTCGACGAGATACCGGAGTCCAACTCCCTATTCCTCGAATGATTCTCAATCTAACTACAAGCCGGCTCGGTTCGAACATCAGTCGGCCAACTTCAGCTCGACCGTCATAAACACAAGCCGCACCGTCCCCGCGGGACGACACATGTACAGTTGCGTTTTCTGTGAGGCATCCCACCTCAGCAGAAACTGCAAAGCGCCACTTACCCTAGAAGAACGTAAAGAGAAAGTATCGAGTAAGAGGGCGTGTTTCCGTTGCCTACGATTGAATCACTCAGCCGTCAACTGCAAAGCGAACGTTCGGTGTTCGATTTGTTCACACAAACATTACCCTCTCATGTGTCCAAAACAAGACAAAGTCTCGCCGTCAGTCAGTCAGTGTGACGTCACTACCACCATTCTCTCCAGCGTGGACGCGCTCGAAGGCTCGACGCTCCTTCCAACAGGCTTCGTCTGGGCACACTTCGGGAACAGGAAGAAAAAGTCAGAATCCTTTTGGACACATGCTCCCATAGGTCATATGTGAGCAAGAGAACAATCTCCGACTTAGCCGCGAAGCCGACAGACTCAACGCTTCTGTCCCTCGGCTCCATCGGAGGTAATGTCTCTGATGTCCAACGCTTCCAGATATACGAACTCTCTCTACAGAGCTGCTTTTCTCCGCAAGTCGTGATACCCGTCAGGTGTCTCGAGATAGCCGAAATCTCAAAGTCGGTTCTACCGCTGGTTAAGCAGACCTATGGCTTAACGCCAAGCGCGGATCTCGGCGGAGATGGCGAGGACTTATCCATAGAGATTCTGCTGGGTGCAGATATCTTACCAAAAATCGAGAAAGAGCAGAAAAGACTCCTCGACGGTTTATCAGCTTTCAATACCCAATTCGGTTGGTTCTTCTACGGTGGGGTCGTGAGAGAGTCGGACACACGCCCACCAAGCCTGTGCGCCTTCAGTCTCATCCAGCCATGGAGACCCGAAGAGTCGAGGGTTTCTCCGGTCGAAGAAGAACCATTGACTAAAGATATAGACTTCCTTTGGAATTCTGAAACTCTGGGCATCGAAAGTCCAAACGAAAATCAGAACGAAATAGACGAGCTGGATGAGGAATTGATCAAGCATCACAGAAGAACGACGAGAAAACTAGCGGATGGACGCTTTTCCGTTTCTCTCCCTTTTCGCAACAATCTCGAAACGCTAGGGGATAACGAATCGCTCACGAGATCTAGATTGATCAGACTGTTAAACAGTCTCGCGAACGATCAAGACACGATCGGAACCATCGATAAGGAAATATCGGAATACATCAGCAATGGCTACGCGGAGCCGGCTCCGCCACGAA